CATGTGAATTACCCAAGATGGGCCTGGAATAATTGTTACGGGCTGTGGGTTTTCTTTTGTTTTGTTCTGTTTTTTTTTTATAAAACAAGGAAACAAGTGTTCTTATTCTGATTTAGAGAGCACGCGCAGTTTTGATTGCATTTGCATTTATCTGGAACAATGTAACTGACTCCAGAGAACTTATTTTGCGTTTACGTTAGTGCTGACACAACTCATTACAGAGACTAATACTATACATCTGCCTTACATATGCATTTGTAAATATTTCACACACCTTCTTTACGGTTTGGCTCAGCATATCCCAGCTCGTCGTCCCCAGAGTGTTCTCTTAGCTATCTTATTTATTTTCTAATTTCATTAAAGCTAAAAATTCGTAACACCAGAACAGATTTAACCATTTTACTCTCAAAATACATTACTAAGTTATCAACAGACTCATCCAGAAGGAGCCTTTAATGACAACTTTAAACCACTTGCTCGGTGCTTTTTTTTCTTTTTAATTTATTTTTAATTTCCCTTTTTCTCTAACCCCTCTCCTCAGTAATTTAGAGATACTGCGAAGCTTCGTGCTGATGCGTTAAAAGCTTGTCTTACAGATGCGTTAATAATTAATAATTTTGAGAAACCAATTTATCTGACGATTTGAGTCGTTAAAGTCATTCACACGAGCTGTATTTGCAAACTCTCTTGTTTTCTGTGCATCAAATTGCGATAGCTTTTACCTTACATGAAAAGGCTGTTCTTAATTCATGTTTATGAAGATGCCGAGTGAACAGAGCTGTGCTTTCACTTACTCCCACAGTGACCTAAATCAACTGTGAGAAGGTGTTTCTGCTTCATTCAGTGAAGGTTTAGCTCATTAAACTGTTTTCCTTCTCAGTATTGTTCTCTGGGTTTGAACTGCATTGCTGTTAAATGCTCTTTAGCAGTTTAAAGGCTTTGAAGGAAAAGACTTACCAGTCTCTGTTTTTAACAGCACTAAATCTGCATTATTAGTTCATGCAGATAAGGGGATTTAAAAGCTCAGCTTGAAACCTCTCCCTTCAGTATTTATCTGACACTGCATAGCTCCAGTAGCTCAGCTGGAAATGTAGATCTATGAAGCTTTAAAGAGAGATTAAAGCCAAGAAAAGAAGTACTTTTCCCCCTATAGACGTTCTCACTTTCCCTTTTCCTACTGTCTGAAGGAGTGATGGCAGACAATGGTCAAAGATGGTTCCCAAAACCCTCTGAATGGGGACACTGTTGGTGGTAGCATTCATTTAAAGTGAGCTTCAGTGTATTGTCCTCCCCAATCAGCAGATCAGAATAGAGTTTGCTGGTGGCTGCCAAAAGGTTAGCAATGCCGATGAAAGGGGTTTCCCATTATTCACTGCTCTTACAGAACTCCCCTTTTGTGCGAGACAGCCCATCATTTCACTACGGAGGTCCGGATCTGCGGCTGGCTGCTCTCTCAAAATGAACAATTCATCTGAATGCAAACTCACAGTAGTAGTGTGCAACCTAAAATTGAAGGTTTTCTTTTCTAAGGACAGGGAAGTAGGGGCAGTTTTTGGCAGTGTCACATTTTAACGATATACCATCATGACATTTTTGACCCACGGCTGACACTAATGCTACAGTCGTGTTACCTTACTGCTTCCAGGGCATCGTGGGAGGTCCAAAGCTAAAATTAGCTAATGGAGCACACTGTATGGTGTAAACAAGTGTGTAGTAGGTAACACATGAGTTTTATACCGGTTTACTGAAGTCCCCTAGTGTGCAAAGTGCAAAGCATAAGAAAAAGAGAGCAGACCAATGGAGGGGGGGAAAAAAGGTCTTTCTCACACTGATATATGCTGTATGTTACGGAACACACAAATCTGTCTCTCAAACCACAGAACCTGATCTAACTGCAGCTCTGTCAGTTACGTACGAGTTCTTTTACAAATCTCTCCTTGCTACATATTTACAAACCAAGTGCTGCTGTGTTCTCTGATGATTTGAGCAGCCTGTACAAGTGGTATCACAGAATCTCAGACACAAGAGCACGTAGACTGAATAACTCCTGTTCATCCTTTTATCACCACATCCCAGAAGTGAAAATAAATGCCTATTTTGGAGAAATTCCTACTTAGCCCTCTGCTGGAGTACACAGGAAAAGCACCTACTTGTATACAGTGGGAAAAAACAGCATCTTCTGTTCAACTATCTGCCTGCCTAACTAAGCAACACTTTGAGAAAGGAGTGGCATTTCAGCAGATAGAAAGCAACCGAAAAGGCATTTATACTATATTCCACATTTTAGAATGTTTTAAAATGAATATTTAGATAGGGAATCACAGAATCCCAGAATGGCATGGCGTTCTTTGTCCCTCTGCCCACCCCTGTGTCAGCCCAGCCGCCCAGAGCCGTGCCCAGCCCCACGTCCAGATGGGACAGGAGATCCCAAGGAGGAGATCCCACATCCTCCGGGTCCCTGTGCCAGGGCTCAGCCAGCCACCCAGCACAGCAGTGCTGCCCGTAGGCAAGGGAGCTCCTGGGCTGCAGCTTGTGCTCGTGGCCTGTGGGCCTGGCCCTGGGCATCACTGGGCAGAGCCTGGCTCCATCTTCTTTGCACCTCCCCTCACGTATTTATCAACACCGATCAGATGTCCCCTGAGCCTCCCTTTCTGCAGGCTGAAAAACAACAGCATTACACTCACAGATATTTTACAGTGTGTCAGTTTGGTTCAGAGGCAGCGCTACTTTCCAGGCTCCTGCAGGAGACTGCCAGGAAAGTAAACAGTGATTTGTGGTGGGAACTCCCTGAAGTGTTGCTGTGTGTACTGCACGGAGGAACGGCTGCAAGCGGAACATGTCTGTCCCCTCAGCCAGGGCCTAATTCCGGCTGAGCAGTGACCTCCCCCAGTCCCAGGCCTACTCCCTCCCTCAGCAGCTCGAGGCACACAGGGCTGGGAGGTGGGCAGGACTCAGCATCTGCCCCAGGGCCCAACTCCCCTTGCACAGGCAAGGGCAGCAGGGCCCACTGCTGGCCTGAGCCTGGCCATGGGAAGCTTTCAGAGGCCAGTAGGTGCCCGTGACTCCTCTGTCTGGGTGGCCCTGTCATGCTTCATGCCCTGGGCCCCCTGGGCTCAGAGAAGTCCCCATAAAAATCACGGGGAAGCGGCAGCCCAGGGTACAATGTGATGTCATAACGTCACGATGGCTATGCCAGCTCTGCTCAGACCAGGCCTCTGTGATCCCCAGGTTGGGTGTGCTGCTGGGTCAGCAGGGAACGGGACAACGTCATGCTGCCAGAGCATGAGATCCACACACCAACTAGTGAGTCCCAAGTGCAGATCAACCAGCGTTCATCAGCTTTTTGTTGCAGAGATCCAAGTCCCTGTGTTCAGTTCAGTCAGCAAATTAGCACGTGCTGGAATCTATTGCTTTCTCTGTTCTCACTAAAGCATGCACTGTTCTTAAATCCCATGTTAAAAAGCAACACTTTTCCACATCTAAGCAGATCTCTAAGAGGAAGAGATACACATAGAATAATGACATGAAATCCTGAGAAGGGCAACAGGTGTGCTGCCAGGGAACGCAACTTCCAAAGGTGCACATCTGTGTACTTTGTGACTCAAAGACAACCAAACATTCAGGTAAGGGAACACAATGAACAGAAAAAACACACAGTGCCCTGCTTTTGTTTTTCCCAATCTAAGCATCATCTTAGGCCTTGGAAAGCACTGTGCGCCAGGTGTGTACTGTGCCTTCTTTAAAGCTCACTTTCTCAGGCACACATGAGGTCAAGCAGTGCCTCATCAGAGCAGTACCTGCTTACATTACCAGTACATGTATGCCCATGCCGAAAGCATCTTATCTTACTTGAGACAAGAGGTCTTTTTTCTAACTTTATAATTGCTGAATAGGGCAGCTGTAAATTCTGGGGGTATTTTTGGGATTGTTGAACACATCATTCTCACTATAGTAGCACCCATCAAATGAATCAAATCTGTAACACTGGTATACACCACGATGGTATTAATAATAGTGATGACTGCATGCAAACACTGTTACCACTTTAGAAAGTTTAGGCACCCACTGCGCTCAGCTAGAATTGAGACTGAAGCACCAAAAGGGCTTAATGCTGCGGGGGCTGGAGCTCGTGCAATATGAGGAGACGCTCAGAGGGCTGGACATGTTCATTTACAGGACAGGCAGACAAGGGAGGCTCTGTCACCTGCGTGGTTACAGAAAAGCTGCAGCCGGACTTTCAGCAACATGAACTAAAAGATGAGGGGCAATGGATACAAATTGCATTGAGGGAAATTCTGAATGGATATTAGGGAAAACAAAGTCACAAAAAGGATGGTCAAACGCATTAACAGGTGCCCCACAGAAGCTGTAAATCACTGCACGTGGAACTATTCAGACTCAGCTGGGTAAGCCTAGCACAGCTTGACCCAATGTTAACGTCAGTGCTGCTCTGAGCAGGAGGATGGACGAGACAGCCCCCAAAGGTTTCTTTCAATCAGAATCTCTAAAATCAAGGAGTAACAGACCATCCTGAGCTGATAGGGACCCGCAGTGGTCACAGAGCTCAACCCCTGTCCCTACGCAGCACCACCCAGACCCCACATCTGAGAGCAGTGTCCCAGCACTCCTTGAGCCCTCTGGGGCAGAGCCTTCTATCGATTTCTAGTTTCTATTATGCTTTAACTGAAAACACAAAAATCAGCTTTATTAGACGCCACGCAGACTAAAAATAAGTTAACTAACATGTTATAAAAAGACATCTACTTTCTACTTTCTACTAAGTTCTGGTGACCTTAGAGAGATTCTTCAAACTTACTAGTTTATTTTAGAAGAGCAATCGTTATAAACCGATCTGTAATTGACACTGTGTAGAAAACTCTCACATAGTCTATTTTCAGTTCACAGAATAAAAATCTCTACATTTCTACATGTCCCTTCTGGGACATGTTTTATAAACTGTTTATGAAGAACAAAGATGATAGAGAGAGGCCAATACATACCTATCAAGCACATAGCCAAGAGCCTTATGCCGTATTCCTGAGTAAACCGATGGGCTTGTTTCCCAAGCAATTAAATTGGAAGCATCATGGAAAAGATGAATGTTTACCAAGTCAAAGGCACTATGACAAAAAAAAAAAAAGGAAAAAAATAAAATGACTCAGGATAAAAGAAAAAAACATTTGTTGCATTCAGCAAAGCATTCAACACAGTAACAATGTATTTTCCCTCACACTCCCTTAAGATTTACTCACATAGACTGTGCAAATTAAGCTATCATCACCAGACAATTGTCAGTAAGCATCATAAAACTTACGCCAAGTCATTCACAAATAAAACTGCATGTAAGGTTCTGCATAAAATATGCATAATATGAAAATGAAAAGCTTTCTGTCTGTTACAGTCTATGGAAATTGAGCAGCACTCTCTCACTAAAATGATTAAAACCCAAAATTGAGTGTGAAAAAAACCAACTTCAAGTTTATATGTTGTGGTTAAGCACCTACCAAAGCTGTGAAGTGAACAAAATGAAAAGCTACTGATACACAATTTTGCTGACATTAAAGGCTGAATTGTGTAACTGCAGCTCCTCCTCAGCCCCTGCACACAGAACACCAAGACAGCAGCGGTCAGTCTGCACGGTACTTCCAACACGGAAAAGGACACCAGGAGTTCAGCTCCAACTGTGCTGCATGATGAGGAACTGGTCTTGGAAAACAAGCAAAATTTGTAAAACGTCACTGCTTTGCATTCTACCCTGAAAGCAGGAGTACTGACCCGTCCCTCGCTGCTTGCACGAGGCAGTGAGTGGGCAGCAGTCCCTTGGGCCCGGCCACAGCCCATGGCTGCCCCACACAGCTGCTGGCAGGTTCTGGCTGGGAAGCACCACGCCATCCTCCGGAGCAGCCGGCAGGAGCTGAGTGCTGCCCTTCAGTCGAGCCATGGACTGACATGGAGCCCTGAAACAGAGCGCACTGCTGCTAAGGAAGTTTGATGGATATGGAGTTGGGTAGGGGAAGAAGAGAAATAGGGGCATGCTGGAAGTTCATTATTAATCGTTGAAACCAACTTCAAGCCCCTGTGAAAAAGAAATCCTTCCTCTACCCTCCTGCATAAAAGCTGAGTTGCCTCCTGTGATCACTGCATGTCCACCCTATTTTTCCAACCTCTTGCTGTGAGGACTGTTTATAACATATTCAGTATTAAAGCATACATCCTTTGACATGGGGACTGGAATTTGCTACAACACTGCACAAGATTTGGCTGATTTTGGCTGATAATGGCATTTGTAAGAGGAATACCACAAGACTGACAACATACCTGCATACAACTGTATTCTTGTACCTTAAATCACTTCACACACTCCCACTTTTCATTGAGGCAGAAAACCTTCATGCAGAAGGAATTTTCTGTCATAATCATGCTCACATGGAGAAACGTATTATTTTCATCATGTTAATCACACAGTAGGTATCACTCAGGGTGGGCTGACAGCCACTTGGAAGGCAACCTGTCCTACTGAACTTTAGTTTTCAACTGCTCACAGATAGGACCCACTTGAGCAGCAAAAAGAAATCTGTGCAACTGTTACACCCAAGCTGGCATTCCGGTTTACATTCTCTCTGCTTGTGACCTTTTGTATCCTAGATACCTGGTGTGTGCTTTCAAAAATGACACCATCTCACTGTTTTGTGATTAAGCTCTTTTGGCCAGAGTAATGAAAGTAGAAAACCTTGAATACTCTTGGCCCACAGATGTAGGTAAACAACAACCCTTCCTAACAGCAAGATCCTCCCCCCCAGAAAATGAGAATGTGGCGCGTTCCATCAGATCCTACATGCAAATTACTGCTACATGCTAAAATTATGGCTAGTGTTTCAGAAAAAATTTTTTTTGATAGACTACAACAGAATAGTTCAAGGGTTGTCAGCCCAATCAGGGCATCTCCTCAGGGCAATCCAAATGTTAGAGCATGTTACTGAGGGCACTGTCCAAATGCCTGTGGAGTACTGGTGAGGCATCAACCACCCTGCTGGGAAGCCTGTTCCTAGCTTGGTCACTCTCAGAGTAAGGAAGTTTTTCCTAATGCCCAGGAGCAGCTTTGCGTTGTTCAAAAGGCTTTGTGCTCACATACAGAAAGAATGCCAATAAAGTCAAAAGTAGCCAGTTCTTAGATCCGAAAAAACGTTATGGGAAGAGTAGAAGCAAAATTAAGTTGCCTCTGCTCCAGCAAGGGCCCTGTCCTGCTGGCACAGTTCAGCTGGATGAGGTGCTCAGACCAGACCAGCTCTACGCTCTCTGTCCAAGAGGCACAGCACTTTGTCCGTGGGAGCTGAGGTGAACGCCAAGGACAACAGGTCCGCCAGCTCCCCTTTGCAGGCAAACAGTTTCTTGGTTGCCCTGCCATAGACCCCTTGAAGCCATGCTGATCACCACAGAAATGCCACTCAGTACACACTGCTTTTCCAGGTGCTGTGTTCTGTGCATATACCCCTTAAGGCAGAAGCAAGACAATGACTTGTGAAGAGCTCTAAAACCATGCACTCTTCACCTCAGGCTAAGCTACACACAGAGTTACAACTAGATTAATCAATGAAAGACAGTCTCATTTCTCTCCTTCACTGAGGACCACTATTTGGGCTCAGTCCAGAGCCTTCCAAGGATTTCTGGCCTTTTCTTCCCAGAAACATCCACTGCACACCCTCTCAGCATCACCTCTCTTCCTCGGCCTTCCTGTCTGCTTCCCCAGTGCTCAGCAAGGTAAATCACAGATCAGCTCTAGCATGTGATAGACTACTTTTCCTGGGATTTCAGGTTTCAAAAACAACTTTTCTCTTTAGAGCAGAGAAGCACTGGGTCCCAATGAGATGCATCCCAGAGTCTTAAGGGAACTGGCTGATGCAGCTGCCAAGCCACTCTCCTTGATATTTGAAAAATCGTGGCAATCAGGTGAAATCCCTGGTGAGTGGAAAAAAGGTAACATCACACCCATTTTTAAAAAGGGTAAATAAGATGACCCCGGGAACTACCAACCTGTCAGTCTCACCTCTGTGCTGGGGAAGACCATGGAGTAGATCCTCATGGAAGCTATGCTAAGGCACACAGAAGGCACGGAGGTGATACAGGAGAACCAGCATGGCTTCGCCAAGGGTAAATCCTGCTTGACCAAACTATGGCCTTTTATGGTGGTGTCTGTGCATCAGTGGACAAGGAAAGAGCCACTGATGTCATCTATCTGGACTTCATTAAGGCCTTTGACACGTTACCCCAGAACATCCTTCTCTCCAAATTGGAAATTCAGGGATTTGATGGGTGAACTATCTGATTGAGAAAGAACTGGCTGCAGGATTGAGTCCACAGAGCAATGCTCAATGGCTCAAAGTTTGGATGGAGATGGCTGATGAGTGGTGTTCCCCAGGGGTTGGTGCTGGGGACAATACTCTTTAATACCTTCATCAGTGACATCAACAGTGGGGTCGAGTGCACCCTCGGCATGTTTACTGATGACACTGAACAGTGGGACGCAGTCGACACACCAGAGGTACGGGATGCCATCCAGAGGGACCCAGACAGGCTGGAGCAGTGGGCACTTCATGAGGTGAACGTCATGAGGTTCAACAAATCCAAATGCAAGATCTTGCTCCTGGGCAACCCCAACTACCAATACAGGCTGGGGGATTAAAGGATAGAGCACAGGCCTGCTGAAAAAGACCTGAGGGGGTACTGGTGGAGGGCAAGCTGGACATGAGCCAGCACTGTGCCCTTGCAGCCCTAAAGCCAGCTGTACCCTGGCTGCATCTAAAGAAGCATGGCCAGCAGGTCAGGAGAGGTGAATATGCCCCCCTACTCTGCACTGACGAGGTCCCACTTGTATTACTGTGCCCAGATGAGGCCACATTGCTGGCTCATGTACAGCTTTCCATCCAAAATGGAAAGCTTTCTTAAATTCCTTCCATTTCTTAAAAAGAAATCTCAAGACTACCCCTTAAATTCCCTTTAAAGAATTTCTTAATTCCTCATTTATACTAACAGTAAGCTCATGAAGAATAATGGATACGAAAAACCTGGATTCAGAGAGGAACTCAACCAGGGCAGATCACCAAGTAAAGGAGGAGGAAGAAGAGGGTAGTTTTCTGAAATAAGGTAACTTCCTCGCTCTTCTGGAAACCCTCTGCTTCTTGCACAAGGTACATCCTATAATGATGCTTCCCCAGGCAGTTAAAACTAATAGCTCCCTTCAAGAATTCACACAAAACTTGCCTCTTCAACTTGCCCTGAGAAGCCTTTGAGATTCTGCTGTATATCATGTGGATCACATTCATAGACTATTCCAAACAGGAATCTACCACCATATCTCACCTCATTACAGATCAGAAATAGCTGTGAGTCTATTCATTTTTATTCCCAACACACCCTTGTGAAAAGTAAGCATGGTATATTAACTGATCTGAACATCTGGCTATAGACTTCTCCTTTTAGAAAGTACTCTTTTTATTTTTTTTACTACCAACACGCAATGAAACATTTATTTTAGATCTAATCATGAAGAGCTTCATTTTTCTTTCTCTCATAAATGCCTAGATTTATTTTTTTTTCCTGCAAATAGAGAGAATTCTTGTAATGTAAGAGAAAAGGCCAGATTAGCAACTGGTGCCTCCCACAGCAGTAGGTCTCTGCTGGCGGAGTCATGTGTCATGTTATATGGATACAGAAAAATCAACAAGAATTTAAATTATCCAGCAGCTACCTGTTTGATTTCTAGGTCAAAAGAAAGTCTGTAAAGGGCAAAAAATTGCTGCTCTCTCATTTTTCACAAATTTTTTTTGCTTAGTCTAATAAACATGCTTATGCAAACAAGCAAGAGCACTCAAGACTTGAAGATCAAACTTGTGATTTTAAGACATGAAAAAACTACAGGGGGAATTGCAAAGTACTCTATGGTCATTTGTGTTAAGGTGACTATTACAAAAATAAGCAGTAAAAACCAGAACAACGACTAAACGGTGAAAAACTATGGTCAAATTTCCAGGTGGGACGAGAGAAATTTAAACTATCTGTGGGTTTATTGAACTCTCCTTGTGTGAAGCCAAGGAGAATATTCACGCCCTCTCAGTTACAGTTTTTGCACAATCAGCTACTCCCTCCTACATACACTAATACTAATATTATTGTTATTACAGATCTATTTTCAAACACAGATAGTAAATAGCTTCAGTTACATGAAATAGACCTCCTGTCAATACTAGCTGGTACTTCTAAAAAAAGTCTGCTAACATACAACAACATAAGGATGTTCAACTTCTGTATTCACACAGTTATCTGCATCCCTCAACTCTCACCTCCTTAAGGTTTGTTTAGGCTGTTGGATAATCCCAAGAGTAAAAATGTTTGTTTCTTCTCAGATTTTCACAGCACATCTTACATGGGACGGTTTTCAGGCAGGTTATATCAAACTCACTTGATGGGTTATTTCTGAAGCAGTCCATGAGCACAGAGATGCAAAGCGTGCCACCTGCTCTCTGCTGCACCCTCCTCAACTCTGGTCGGTGAACGGTGGGCTGCCAGGCCCTTTATTTTACTCTGGGATGAGAATAAGCAAGCTCACAGAGAACAGGACCGTGCCTTGGGCTTAAACTGGGATTCCTGACCTGAATATGACGAATAAAAGTTCTGTTCCATTAAAAATAACATAGTAGTAACTGGTGTCAAAAAGCTGCATTCAGTAAAAGTAGAGTCCCTCCACTGGCTTCAATGGAAACTGGATGGGGTCTTAAATGGCTGGCTTAAAGAGCTCATAAAGAGCAGGAGTTTCCCTGATAAACCCCAGAGCGGAGGGCTGCACCTGCCTACAACCAGTGTCTGAACAGGGCAAGATGCTGCAGACTGTTGGACGCGTCGGGCCTGGTGGGAGGGCTGGGATCCCTTCAGCTCTGCACTGCGACTCCACATCCTGGACTCGGTCACAGCTACTGAAAGGCTTCGATCACGTTTGGTCAAAAGACTGCTTTGGACGTTCACATTTGGACATGCCTCACTACAACTTAGAGTGTTATGTGCTCAATAAATAATAAATTCAAGTAACTGCTTTGAAACTAATTTACTTTTTGTGTATATGAACATCTTATTCGAGACAGCTGCTGAAAAAAAAAGCATACAACACATACAGTCAGAAAGAAGTTAAAGAGGCAACGTACCAATCAGTAATACACCACCTTGTTCGAATGAAACCTTTTCTGGACCACTTGCACTGAAAAATAAGCAAATAAGAATCAGTTATCTTAAGCAAAGGATTACTGTGATGAAAGATATGTATTTACACAGAGAAGCTAATAAAACAAAATTAATCCACACAACGAATCTAAAAAGCACTACTGACCAAGGAAGCTTGCAAACACATACTGTTTCTCACAAATTCTGGAATTATTTATATTTTTGGTCCTGCAGTTCAGTTGCAAATTCACGAGTAAAATGAATACAGACCTAGGTAGTTGTTTACAGATGAAAGATAACCCATCAATAAAGCTTTACAACTATATCGATGTTTGCCCTAAACTAGTGAATTCTTACTGTCTCTGCATAAATACTTCTGCTTCTTTGTAATTTTATTTGAACTGTAAAATCTTATCATAGATCTACATCAAATTAAAATGAAGGGGATGTGCTAGAAAGCTATTTCTCCTGCTTAGCCAACCAACCTAATATTTCTATAAAAGTTAAAGGGAGTTTAAATAATGGTAAAATATTACATTTATCAACACTGCAACATCCGCAAGAAAGCCACAAATCAGCTCCTGCCAGGGCACCTGCCAGTGTACTTCTGGAACAGTAAAAGGATTTCTTCAGCACCACTCCTAAGCCATGGCCATAAATTACAGCCTCCCACAGAAAGACATGATTCTGCATCCTATTTATTCACAGTTAACAATGGATGTGGGGCTAGGTGAATGTTCTTCAGTAATGAATATTGCACCAGACAGACCTAAATAATGATGCCAATGATTTTGTAGCAAGAGTCTGCAAGTACTTACGACTTACAAGCATCAGCCTTAGCAGAGCACTCCTCAGAGTCAGGGTACCGCTCCCTATGCTTCCACAGAACGGCCTGGCTTGCAAAGGAGCACAGTGCTCATCCAGCTCCAACCCCCTGCTGTGTGCAGGTCGCCAACCAGCAGCCCAGGCTGCCCAGAGCCACATCCAGCCTGGCCTTGAATGCCTGCAGGGATGGGGCATCCACAGCCTCCTTGGGCAAAAACAGACTTCTCCTAAGGCACTGCCAACAGCATTCAAAAGAGACACCCCAGTTCTATTTAGCAACCTCATGTGAACAGAAGTCCTCATGGGATTTCCAGGTCCAAAATCCTGCAGAGATAGCCAGCTCCATCACAGAACCCAAATGGTTCATTCCACAACCACCATCAGATAACAACAGTTCTCATCTCCCATCTCCTCCCCTCCTTATGCACAAACAGTAACAACAGAAATCGCCTTGGTTTCTGTAGCAGCACTCAGGATGCTCTTATCACAAACCTGCTCTCTTCACCAGCACTGCATTTGCACCAAGACTACTGTCGCATTCCAAATATGCTTAAGAAAACTTAAAAATGTTTATTTTACTGAACTCACGCTTTTGTTCTTGAAAGCTGGAATATGAGAACTACTTACTTATGTGCAGTTTTTCTATCCAAACCCAGAAAAAAGTGTAAAATTACTGGTGGCAGCTTATTTCACGGGCCACACTCAACTACAGTGCTCGTCACCTTGGAGAAAGCGCTCCTGCATGCCACAAAACTGAGAAGTAAAAAGCTGTCTACAAAATCTGACAGTTTAACTCTACGTGCATTTACACACTACAGATGTTGGGAAACTTGACACCAGTATTTGTCGCTTCCAGCGCTAATTTCAGGATGGCCTTTCTGCAGACGTGTGAGCCCACCCTGCACATGTGGCTGCAGCCCGATTTTACTGCCAGGTCTGAAGGAGAGCCGCAGTCTGAGCGCCTGGCTGTGCTGGCCCCAGCAAAGGAGGTCTGAGGCGCTTCCACAGGGATTCATCATTGCAATTGCTACAGCAATGGACTGCACAAGGTGGTCCTCTCAGCACTGCTGAGTCCAGGCATGGTGACTAACAGCAAAGTACTTCATCTTGCTGAACCCATGTGTTATCTGATACCGTGCAGACACACTGAACAGCTTTCTTCTCTTACCTCTTTACTTACAGTTGGCTTGCAGTGTACTCACAGGACGTAGACAAGAGGGAGTAAAACAGATTAACAAATCTGACATTAATTATCTGATACGGACTGAAATAAATGGTTTTTGATGAGACTTGGTGTGAGAACCTCAGTTTGCAAAAATTTAATGTTTTTGACTCGTTTAATGAAGTTGTGCTTCATCTTCCTATCCATGACCTCTCTCTTTGGACAGAACTCCAGAATGTCAAGAAACATTTCCTTCTGTTTTCTTTAGAGACTTCATATTATCTTATGCCTTTCTTTTGCTGATGCTGATGTTTACGGCTGCTTCAGTTTTTTAAGAATTTGTACTTCTGAAAGCAAGAAAACTTGTTTGGGTCTAAAAAGGTTACATTCAGGTAGAAAATCCTACCAGTTCCCTACTCTTAAATCTAGCCGATGGACACACATTCAGGGATGAAACAATTTATCCAAATCCTTATCGTTTTCCCTTAGCACATCCCAATTCTTTATTTTTCTGAAACTGTAGCTCTACTGAGGAAGAACACTTGTGGTTGTGAATAAATATCTACTTCATTTTAAAAGTTTTCTGTGGCTGCGGCAGTAATTCAGATCCATAAAGAATGGTAGGTTGGAGTTACGAAACAGTAACTTCTTCCTGATAGCCCAGCTTTCAGAGCAAACTACAAATGCCATAATCCAATAAAGTTCTTTTTATTCACAGTTTCTGTGATGATAATGGTAATACTGTTATGCGTTGAGATTTGGCAAATTTCAATTTCAAAAGGAAAACACTGGGAAAAGAAAGTTAAATACTGAAAGCGTTCATCATCAGCTTTAATCTCAATGAAAAAAGGGGCACTGTCATTTCATCCTTAACAATAACTATATTGATTCTAATTACTAAAGAATAATACACAAAACTTAAAATCAAATGCTCCAAGCCTATGGTGCAGCCCACAGTATTATCTTTGATTGAGCTGTCACTTTTCATTTGTTATTTTTCCTCTTTGGCAACACAACAGGCACTTAAAAGAGGTACAACTGAAACACAGCTATTTATATTTGGTTATTTAGAGCCATACCAAGTTGGGTTTTGAGCACCTCTAAGGACAACACTGATTCCATAACCCACCTGGGCCTGCCTCTCTTCTAGTGTTTATCCTCAGGGTGAAATCCAGCCTCCTAATATTCAGAGGATTCTCCCTGCTGCAGCTGGTGACCACTGCCCCTTGTCCCACTGCTGCTCTGTACCCAGCAGAGCCTCATCCCACCCCTCCAAAGCCCCCATCCCAGTCTCTCCTTCTGCACAGACCATCTCTCCAGACTCTCACATCTCTGCTTCAGCCCCAACAAGTTTGGTGCCTCTGCCACACTTGTTCTGTTTTGCCCATGTTTGTCTGGTTCGCAAACAAGACACTGGAAACACAATGCTGGCCTCCGAGAGGAGCAAATAGAGAAGAAGAGTCCCTTCCGGGGACCTGACACATCCTGGCAGTCTGCTAGCTTTCTGTGCTGCCACAGTGCTGGCTCACGTTGTACTTCTGTCCAACAAGACCCTGGGTGCTTTTGTATTTTCAGGACGCCTGTGCTGCCCACAAGTTATCCCATCCCAGTATGAGGATACTTAGCATTAACTTTCACCAACGTTCCCATCAGGCTGCTTCTACAGCCTGCTGAAGTTCCTCTCAACAGCAGCCCTGTCCTCTAGCATATTTTCTGCTACTTTGCACATCATCTGCAAAGCAGATGTGATCCATCCTGCTGTGTAAGCTGTCAAACAGATGCTGAACCCAGCGTGGTCTGGAGGACCACCACCAGCCACACTTTGCACCACAGATCACCACCCTGTAAGCCATTGCCAGCTCCCAGCTGGTCATCTAGAAAGACCTCCTCCAACCCCTTCCTCCAGATAAGGACAGGATGGCTACTTGGGACCCTCCCTTAAGCCCTCCTTGAAAACAGCTATGACATTCACATTCCACAGCCCTCCAGAACCTCCCCCTTTTCAGATGACAGCGACAGGCCTCACCACGACATCAGTAGGCCCTGTTTCTCCCTTAGGTGTGCCCTGCCTGCTGCCATATACTCACGTATGTACAGTGAGATTAAGGTTTAGTGTAACCAAAGCACATGAGACCAAGAGTCCTGCCATCAATCATCACCCCTCTTTGGCAGGCCTGCTGCAGGGCTTTGCTATGACTGTCACCGATTACTGCACCAACAGAAGTAATTTTAGTTTAAGGTGTGCTCAGCCTTAGGCTCAACTGCCTTATTCTGTTTCAGGCAAGTCTTCATTAACACAAGCCAATTAAAAGCTACATGCAACACATTTTTTCTGACTTGATAAAATACAGGAATTTCTTACTGTAGATTGGCATTTCCTTACACATACACTGTAAACAGTGGTTTTAAGAACAGCAGTATAACTTAGATGCTTTTCAACTCTGTTGCTTCAGTATGCCTCACTGAAATTGTGACATCTCCCTATTAGAAGCTCTCAAAAAAAAATCACAACTTGAAAACTTGCAGTTACATTCCGTCAGTCTTCTCTTTGTGAGCAGAGTCTCTCAGGAGATCGTGCTGACCTTTTGAAACCCCCCAGAAGCACCACCTACATAAATAACCTCCGCTACATCGGGTAAAAGGACCTCCAGACAACATTAACATGAAGAGAGAGGTTATAGAGGGCTAATGTCAAAAAGCACTGTTAGCAATAAGTAATGCACACAAACCATGATTGATAACAACTAGCACAGAGCCTTAATTCATCTTTTCTCCATCATTTTACTGAGAGGGACCATATCAAATTAAAGAGTGACCCAGCAAGGGTCTATTCAACCATACAAAGCAGGGGCACGAAGGAAAGACATATTAAAGTGGCAATGACTGCGGTGCAATCGCAGCTTCTTAAAGGGACACTGTAGTTCACAGAGAAAATGGCAACTCTTGCAGCTGACATGGCCAATACCAAACAGCAAGAACACTCAACATACCAAGCAATGTCCTGCATTAAGGAACTGTTGGATGAAATCTCCTGGGAAACTCTCCTTAGG